ATATAATATTTATGTATTATTTCAACCAAATAATAATAATCAAAATACAATTGAAATTAAATTATAAGTTACATAAATAAAATTTATTTACCAATTACTATCTCCCAACAATGTTTCCTACAAAACAACAATATTAAAAAATATTAGTAGTGTAAATAAATTTATCAATAACTGAAATTCTTGTTTAATTAACAATTAATTAGCTAGAAAAAGAATGGAAGAGAAAAAGAGCAGAGATTAAGAAGATATAAACCAAAATTAATATAAGTATAATGTAATAATAAATATGGTAAATTGAGCAGCAGATTAATGGAAGAAAAATCCGGCCAGGAGCTCTAGAGACAAAGCTGGAGAGGAGAAGAAAAAGAAGAAAAAGAAGAATGAAGAAACAAATAAAATGAACGGGCGGCGATGCAAGTGTATATGTATATATAGAGCCTTTTAGCAATGGCTAGCTTGTCGGTATTCCTATTACCGACGTGATACACATGGGTCAAGTGAAAATTTCAGTGGGAGCAACACAATCCAAAAAATTTGTGAGCCCGCTTGTTTCTTACTGACTAGGTTCTTGTCGGTAAAGTGAAAATTTCGGCGCCACCACCAAAAATCCAAAAATTTGTTTCTTACCGACAAGGTTCTTGTCGGTAAAGTGAAAATTTCGGCGGCGCTGGCAGAATCCAAAAATTTTGTGAGCTGCTTGTTTGTTCTTGCCATCAGTTATCGACAAAGGCTTGCTAGGAAGTTAAGAGCATGCTGGGGAAGTGAAATGCCTTCAATTTGAATGGCATATTGGCAAGTTAAAAGCAAAACTTGGTCCAACAATGAAGCTGCCGAGGCGTGAGCAGTTCAATTTGCTGAGATTACCGATGAAAGTATAGTCGGTATGAAGCAAATTTACCAACAAGAACTTCATCGGCACTAGCTCTTTCTGCTCACTCCAATGAAAAGCTGATGCAGTAGGTATTACCTAGAAATTTGCAAGTTACCGATGAGATTATTCTTGCAGAATATCACCATCACTGACGAGAAATTCGTCGGTATATTAAAAGCTACTAACTCTTTGCCACTGCCCTAAAAAGCTACTGAGTGTTTATATTACCAAGAACTCTCCAACTTACCGACAAGATTTTTGTTGGAGAAGCTGAAAATTACCGACGAAGATCTAGTCGGCCTATGAGCTTTGTCTCACTACCCTGAAAAATCTGCCGGAGTTGGCGGAGTGGATATTCAAAATTAATACCGACAAGAAACATGTGTGTAATTTTTAAATTTACCGACGAAGTGTGTCTCTAAAATAAAAATAATGTAAATTAATTTCAATATTACTGTTTTTGATGGTTCAGACATGATTTTTGTCGGTAAGTGATTCATTTACCGACTAATGTTTTCCACGTCGGTGATTTTTGGTCGGTGATACTGAGTTCTCTTGTAGTGCCATAGGTGGTTTTTTTTTTTTTTTTTAAAATACGGATTACTTTCCAATTAAAATGCATTGTGCAGGTTTCACTTCTTACCCAAGCTGCATTAATTGTACCTTGCCTTAATGACACTCCATGGAACAAGCTTGTTACATGGTGCAACCTAATTAAAATAATAAAATGTGACTCACATTGCACTCAATATTCTTTTCCTGCTCTTATCAGTTCCACTTTCACACAGCATCCCCGGCATGTAACACGCACAATAAAGCTTGGTTAAATATAAAAATTGTCCTTCGACTTTCATATTTATAGGCAAATTAGTCCTTAAACTTTGAAAAGTACTGAAATGATCGTTAAACTTGGATTGTGAGTACCAATTTGGTTTTTCGGTTAGTTAAGTGGTTACGTGAACCATTAAGTCATTCGAAAATACGAACATAAAAAGAAAATGATTCAAAAATAAATTTTTTATATGATTTTACTTGTGATTTAATGATTAATTTTTTCACTTAACTAAGACCTATGATATTATTTGTATCTACTTCTTTAATATCATGTAGAGATTGTAAAAAAATATTGTAAAAAAAATTCTCTTCATATCATTTTCCAACATAAAATTATGTGGCAATTTTAAAATTATTTACTTGCTTAGGTGGATGACATCTTGTCCCATATTAGATTTCATTTTTCTTTTTGGGCCAACCCCACATCAGATTTTGATTGCAAATTTTGATGTCAGTTAATGAATTAAATTAAGGATTTTAGTTAAGGTAATTGCACCCTTTTGCAATAATAAATATTATTTTTAGAGTATTAATATATAAGATGTAAATGATGGACAAAAGTTTAGAACTAATAACGTGTAACAGGTTATGTTATTAAATAAGTTAATAAATATAATATCATGAGTTTTAATAAAGTAAAACAGTTAATTACTAAATAATATAAAGTTTATTTTTTAATATTTTAAATAATGTTACTTATACCATGTCATCAGTGTTGAATTTTGATCTAAAATTTTGAATCTCATTTATTATTATTCTTATTTTTAATATTAGTGCTATGTGAATGATTTTAATTGGATAGTTAATAAATTTAAAATCTTGTGTTAATTATTTATATAAAAAAAAAGTGTAATTGATAAATCCCTAACATGTGTTTTAAAGGCTATAAAACAAGAACCATTGGATGGGAAAGGGAGCTTCCAATATTAAAGGGATGCCTTCATCCAGTGGTTAAAGTTGTATAATTCACAAAAGTCTGAATTGTACAATACTTTTTCATTGTACAATTATATAAGAACGATAATTAATATACATTCTAATTCAACACACTTATTAAGAAATTATTATCTTTAAATTTGAATTAAAAGCAAGAAAACTTGAAGTTACAAATTTTAATAGTTAAATTAGTGGGTGTTGATGGATATTTTGAATCAGATAGTGTACTAATCTTTTTTCTTTATAAAGTGTATAAGTCCTCTATTTGTCCATTTTAGATTCAAATGTCATGTGGAAAGAAAAAAAAAAGCCACCTCATCATCTTATGTGTGCTTTTTTTTTTTTTTAAAACCATTTTTCTACTTCCTCCATTCAGCTTTAGTGGATCTACTTTTTTTTTTTTTGTCCAATAAAATAGGGATGTAATAATTATTGCCTTCATTCAACTTTAGTAGACTTAGTTTCTAATTTGAGGCATTCAAATTTAGTTGTCCACTCTTCCTTTTAGGATGCCATTTAATGTATTTATTTCTATTTTACCCTTATTTTAAAAAGATAATTACATTATATATTTAATACGTGTTATTTACATAATAGTTAATTATAGATAAATATAAAATTTTATCAATAAATTATACATTTCTATTTTATTGAACAAAAAAATAGGCCTACTAAAGTTGAATGGGGGAGTAGTTGATAAAATTTCATATTTATTTCTAACTAATCACTGCTTAAATAAGCATTCTTATTTAATTTATGTTGTAATTATTAATTTAAAATAAGGGTAAAATAAGAATAAAAATATTAAATGATATCCTAAAATAGAAAAATGAAAAATTAAATTTGAATGCCCCAAATTATCAATAGGTGTACTAAAGTTGAATATGGCAGTAATAAAATGGTGATTTTTTGGCTACTTATCGTGCCACTTGTCTATTGACAAAAAGATGTAATTGGTATTGAAAATTAAAATTTGAGGATATTTTTTATATTTTCTAGAGTTTAAGGATAGATATGGTAAAAATATTAAAGTTGAGGGAGTAAGCTGATATTTTAACTATAACCTGATATTTTAACTATAAAGATTTATATGCCTCCCTTTGCCGGTAAAAGAAGCAAAGAATGCATAAATAGTAGTGTTTTGCTCTCTCTCTCTCTCTCTCTCTCTATATATATATATATATATATATATTCCTGCATGCATGATTTCCTATATGATTTCCTATAACTAATTCTCTGCTCCTCTAGCTGCAAACTTTTTTCCTTAATTCATTCTTCTGCTTCTGCCAATTGGTGAGTATTCTCTGATGCTACATATGTATAGCTCTCTTTCTTTGCTTTTTTTGTTAAAATAATCTTGTTATATATGGTTCGAAACATTTTAATTGGTACTGTAACTTTTATATAGATATGATTTGGAATTATGTTCAGTGAAATAGGTTTTTGAAAGTTGGTGGATTTCTGTTTACACCCACATTTTAGATTGTGGAGACAACAATTTCATTTTTAATATTATTTCATGTCAGCAAAAAAAAAAAAAAGAGTGCTGTTTTAATTAGAACTGGGAAAATCAAGACATTTAGTTAATTAATTTTGTTATTAGAAAAATATTTTTCGAGTCAACCAATAAGATAAAAAGAATAAGAATGTTTGTAAAATTATTTAAATACCTTTAATAAATTACTTATGCATGTTGATTGATTAATTGTATTTAAATTTTTTATAAATATTCTGCATTTCTATAGATTGACTTGAAAATTCATACCCCATTTATTACTTGTTAATAAGTTGTTATCTCTTTGATTTTAAATAATCTTTTTCCTTTAAATTTACCAAAAAACTTTATATATATATATATATTAAAATGGTTTATCTATCAAATTTTTGTTAATTAGTTTTCCTTGCAAAATTCATCCCATTTATTATTATTCACATCATATATGTAACAATGAAAAATCAACCTCAAATGAATCCTTTATTTTCTTAACCTTTTTCTCATGTTGGACAATTGATATTGTTTTTCTTTAATATTTTGATAACTATTTTTGATAATTAAAATGAAATTTTATTGAAAAAAATAATTATTTTTATGTTCTTATTAAATATTCTGCACAGAAACTGTGCTGGAAGGAGCGATGTACCGTGTCAAAATCTGATTCGAAGAAGTTTTGGACCAATTTTGTAGAAGAAGGTACTCCGTACTGCACTTAAAAGTTTTCAACCTGTTAGTATCGTATCTATTTTATTAAGAGGTTTCTTGGTGCAATAGTTTAGACATTAGATTAGTAATTTCGTCTAAGTAGTTAAATAATAGCATCTGTTAATTTTCTTCTAGTGTTTAATAAAATTTTTTATTTAACTGTTAGAGTTTAATTTATTAGTGAATTATAAAAACTCTTGAAAATACTTTTTTTAAATTATTTTATAAAATACACACAAACATGAAGAGAAATTTTCTATATATCTATGAGAATATAAGGTTACAACTTTATACTTATATACAAATTGCACTAATTTAATTAAGAAAAAAATATAATTAGTAACTGATTACTATTATAGATTAATACTAATTTTTTTTTTTCCTTATTAGTTTCCAATCTTCCGAGTTCTTGCAATCTAAACAAAATTTACCCATAAAACAATTAGGTATAAAATATAGGTTTAAGTGCGACTTCTCTCCTTCCACATACAACCTTCTTTATTTCTTCCCACAATTGAAAAACCTAAGGCCACTAATGAGGCGAGCTTTCTTCTTTTACATTTTTTCGTTAATATGATTCATAAATTTGAGGTATAGCAGCTGTGTTCTTGCAAAATTTTTCTTTGCTACCTTTGCGTATATTTGACTCATATTTCGTTTTTCTTATAAATTTATGCGACTGTGTTTTATAAAAATTGATTCAGAATTTACAAAAAAAAAAAAAAAAAAAAAAAAAGGGATTGAGAAAAGGAGAACAAACTACTTTAAGTAACAAATTTATGCTTGGATTGACGACTATTTAATTTGGCAGTTATAAATTTCCATTCATCCAATACTACTACCAAGTTTCATAGTAGATGTTACTTGCTTTAATTAATCCATTGCAATTACCATTTCATTTTTCTCTTTCGTGCATGGAGTTATGTTTTGATGGTTTTAATATTTTGATTTTTGACTTATGTAGAATATTCAATTGGTTCATAAATATGTAACGTTCTTTCTAGTATTAAGAACTTAAAGAGAAAAAAAAGAAAGAAAAGAATTAGTTGTTTTTAAATTGTCTTTTGCATCCAACTTAAAACTAACTAGTAATATGTGAAGTAGCTTTTCTTCTATTCAACTCAAATAGTTCTTTGTTATTTACACACTCAACACACTTATCTCGCATGCAAGCCAAATATGAATATCAAATTTTATCATGTAACTTAATATGCCCTGTTATATGTAGCTCTACTAAGAACTTAATTTGGACCTTATTTGTTGGGTTAACAACAAATTTCATAAGAATGGAGCCTAGACTTGGATACCATATGAAAATTGAACCTATAGACTTCAACATAAAGTTTTAATCCAAATTAAATCCAATTGTCAATAGGTAGAGTAACATTCATTGTATTTAACTCATATATTTCTTTATTATATTCTTGATATAAAATTTTTCTACTCAATGGTTTACCTATAGCAAAAATGTGAGAAAATGTGCAAATAAGGATGCTAACCTTGCATTTTTTTTATTTAAAAATGTTAATTTTACCAGTTTCTAAATAAAGATTTCAACTTTCAACTTTTTGCATTTAAGGATGTTAATTTTTTTTTTAAAGTCCATTTACCATATCAACTTCACCATCCAATTAATCTTTTAATAAAAAAGTTGAAAGTTAATATTTTTAAATAAAAAAAGTTGAAAGTTTGATATCTTTTTTAAAAACTGACAAAATTAATATCTTTAAATGAAAAAAATACAAAATTAAAATCTTTATTTATACATTTTCTTGCAAATAATTACTCCATAGGGTAAACTTTTACTTTTACCTTTTTTTTTTCTTTTTCTTTTTTTAATGCAATAGTCTTTGCTTGGTGTTTTGGTTGACCACTTGGCAAACTATTTCTTCTAAGAAGGTTTCTACCCTAGACTTAATTAGAAACCACTTCTGGACTTCAAAACCCTTGGAAAGCCTGACGGCAATGTCCAATAAAATCGGTTATACGTATTTTAATAAGAGAAAAAGGAAAATTAGAATATTCTAATATTAAAAGTATTATAATGTTTAATAATGTAACAGAGTGTGTAACTTTACAAGGTGTATTAATCATTTTTCATCTCAACTTACATTTAAAAATTGAAATCTCAATTTAAAATTTAAAAAATCACCCAATTAAATGTTGATATTTAAATTTAAAAATTGATTATATTAAAATCTAAATATCAACATTTAATAAGATGGATTTTTATATTTTGAGATGGATTTTTATGTTTTGAATTAAATTTTAATTAAATAAAATGATATAATTTAAAATTAGAATTCTAATTTTTTTAAGAATCGGATTGATATGAACTTTTCCCTTACTAATTTTACTTATAATAAATAAATTTTGATGCAAATAATATCCATAATTAAATGTGGTATTGATTAGGTTTGAGCAAGTTTGATTGGAATTTTACCACTTATTATTTAATATGTTGACGTAAAATTAAGACTAGTTCTGGTCAAATTAGTTAGTTCAGTCAATTTTTTAAAACCATGCAACATTCAATGTGTGGGAAATATTGTTTGCTGGATTACCTATTTCACCTAGTTAGAAATGAATGAAATTGACAATAGCTGATCAGAAGGCTTATATCATGTCTGTATTAAAGCTCACAAATTTCTCCTTAATCGAAAAAATAAAATAAAATAAAATAAAATAAAAGAAACTCACTTTCATAAAGCCCGACGGACTAACTAAAATTTAAGAGTATCTATTTAGGACCCTAAAAATAAAACTATAGTAGTATTAATTGATTTTCATTCTCAAAGATTGAAACCGAAAACTATTTAATGTAGTATAGGATATCTAGATGGATCGGAAGGGTTGTGGTAAAACTAGGCTCATCGTATGTACGTGCATGTCTAAGTTTATTGGCTAAATTTGGACAGCTTTGACGAAACAAAGTGAGGGAGAGACTAACTGAAGAAGATGGACGAACACCTGCCGTTCGATGCTAAAAAGTTCAAGGAGCTATGGGATACATGGAATATTAGAGTATTGACTATTCTAAGCCTCTTGCTGCAGTCTTTCCTAATTCTGTCTGCACCATTTAGAAGGCGAATAGGTGATAAAAGGTTCTTCATGGCTCTGCTCTGGATGGCATACTTGCTTGCAGACTGGATTGCTATATTTGTCATAGGACTCATCTTGCGTGCTGAACAAAGAGATGACATCCTGGTCTTTTGGGCACCCTTTCTTTTGTTGCATCTTGGTGGCCCTGACACCATTACTTCCTTCTCTCTATGGGATAATGGCTTCTGGATTAGGCACTTGCTTCAGCTTATATTACAAGTTGGTTCAACCGCCTATGTCATAGGTCGGTCACTCCCACACAACAAGCTCTTGCTCCCAACCCTCCTGGTGCTTGCTGCAGGAATAATCAAATATGCAGAGCGGAACCGTGCTTTTTATCTTGCATGCCTTGACAATTATGGAGATAGGGTAACAAACCAATCCCTTCACCGCAAAACCGCAGTTAAGGCTGATAAGAAAGATGACGATTCCAAGTTACTAGAGGAATTGACACCCTATGGCACTATCAAGAATCTACTTGTTGGGCCTCTTATTCCTCATAAACGGCGCGACTTTTGCAGGAGATCCTTTCTTAATAAAAAGCCGAAAGAGGTCCTTGGGATAATAGAGTTTGAGCTAAGCCTCTTGTATGAAGCTCTTCACACCAAGTTGCCCGTGGTTGATTGCAAGCTTGGATACATTCGCCGGTTCATTTGTATTGGTTGCATTTCCGGAGCGTTGTTGTCATTCAGATTAATTACCAAGGCAAAGCAGTACCGTGATGAGTTGGAAAATTCTGAAATCTGGCTAACCTATGGTTTATTGATTGGGGCCATAACATTGGATTTCATATCCATCGGGTTGCTTATTTCTTCCGATTACTTTAATGCAGCTAAGTACGGTTTGGGAGCGATGCATCAGAATGACACAATTATGGCATGGATCCGTAACAGACTCATCAACAGGCACAGGTGGTCCAAAAGAATCCCCCAGCTCAACTTTATAACCTATTGTCTTAAAGCCTACCCAGATTGGTTGAACGAGTTGGATAAATATCTTCCCGTAAGATTTATTTTGAAGTTCATTCAAGGCATTCGATGCATGTCATCAGAAGTTTTGAAAGAGCAAGTACTGTGGAACTTCATTTTTGAACAAGTGAAAGGAAAGGCTGAGCTCGCAGAGACGGTAGAAATGGGAAATAAAATCTGTCTAAAAAGAGGTGATGGAATTCTTGACGAACACAGCAACAAAAATCTCATCTGGAGTGTAAAGGATTTAGATTACATGGAAAGCCTTCTAACATGGCACATAGCCACTGAATTATGCTTGCAAGACAAAAGCCACCAGTCTGCATCATCACCCGGGAATTCGGATTTCCAAACAATAACCAAGTTACTTTCAAAATATATGTTTTACCTTCTACAGGAGGAGACCGCTATAAGGGACATAAATAGTGTGTCCATTGGTTGGAAAAAGGTATTTAACCACACACATAAACATATGCAAAATTTCTACCTTAAGCAGGGTAAAAAAGATGTAGCCAAAAGAATGATTTCAACAAACCCAGGAAGTAAGCCTCCTGGTTGTCCACCAAGATCTGTTTTATGCAAAGCGCATAAGCTTTTCAATGAGCTGAAGGAATCAGATGATAAAGGCTTTCCATGGGAGTTAATGAGCAAAGTTTGGGTTGAATTAATGTGCTATGCTGCTATTCATTGTAAGCCGCATGCGCATGCACAGCAACCAAGTATGGGTGGACAACTCATCACTATCGTTTGGTTGTTGATGAATCATTGCGGCCTAGGAAATCAATTTGCAACTAATGAACGTGCTGTTGATGATGACGAAGAGACAGATGTGGTGATTCAATGCACTGTTGATGATGACGAAGAGACAAATGTGGTGATTCAATGCACTGTTGATGATGACGAAGAGACAAATGTGGTGATTCAATGCGCTGTTGATGATAACGAAAAGACAAATGTGGTGATTCAATGTGCTGTTGATGATGATGGAAGAGACAAGTGGTGATTCTCAATTGCATCGGATAGTTTGATTCCTGTGTGTATATTTGTTTGCGTGTCTTCTTTGTAATCCTTTCTTAAATTATTGCTTGAGCTTCTTATATAAGTTTTAAAGACATATGAACATTAATTTCTTCTTTTAATTTGATAATTCTTAATTTGTATTATAATCTTTCTATTCAATTTTAGTAAATTCAATTTATATAATTCAAAAGTTTTCTCACCTTAAATTTCAATTTAAAAATAATAATTTTTTAACAAATATGTTGTGAAGTGTATTGAGTCAAAATATGTACTAATTATTATTTTATACTGAGATTGAAAAAGAAAAACCTAAGCAAACTGAATACCACTAGTCTTTTTTCGCTTAATATTTGGTGATTCATTTTTTTTGTCCATCAACTTTTTTCATATACCATACGTTTACCATAGATTCAAGAGCAATGTCTGATTTTGTTTTGTGGGAAGCTATAACAGTATATCATCACCGAATCAGCAATAGTTGAATACCATGACGTGCCAAATAGACGTAGGCACATGTTTT